CCACCCTAAAATGTGTTTTGCAGTAAATTGTCAATTTTCATTAAACCTACTGTACAGAATGAAAGAAAATGGACAATAACAGAATTCAATATATTCATGAAAAATACTTACTTGGTTATTTGATCATTTATGAGTACCGCAGCTAACAATCTGAAACAGTTTGGGTATCCAGAAGTTAGAAGTTGGAAAATAGTTTTGACTTGAGTAGAGAGTCACAGTTCAGGAGAACAACCCAAAAAACAAAGTTGGACTGACGTAGAGCGTTAAGATAAAAATATGTATCAAAGAACCAAGACTTTATAACTGACGTTTCCCTCCACCCAATCTGAATGCTTTGCAAAGATGAATCGGTCAACAGTTAGCTTTTTTGGTGTTGTAGGCTATTAGTAACATACCTGAAAATATTTTCAGCTTTAACTGCTGTAAACTGTTGTTAGAGTGGAACGGCTGAATATAAAAGCACATCTCATGTCTTACTTCTATATAAATGAGGGGTGGTGGCCTAGTGGTTGGGGCACTGCGCTTGGATCCCAGAGGTTCTGAGTTCAAGCCCCATTCCTACGGAGAGTCACTCTGGATCCCTGAGCAAGACCCTTAACCCCCACATGGCTCCCCAAAGGGATGGGTTAAATCCTGCAGTGAATTCCGTTGCTTTGCTTTGTGTAATGACAATAAAGTTGAATTCTATTCTGTTCTATTCTATTCTATTCAATAAAAAACTAAAACTCACATTTCCTTTTCTTTCCAATTTAAATATACAAAACTTAAAATTTGTCATCCAAAATCAATATAAAAACATTCAAATGTGTGCTCATAATATTAAAAGATATTGTGATAAAGCAGCACTGTAATCTGGCAAAAATTATTTTAGATTTTCCTTTTGGAAACATATTCATCTTAAGCCCCAGTTATCTAAAAAGTAGTCGGCAAATCATTTCTCAAAGGTTGTTCCCTATTGTATTTTTTGGAAATACAAACATTTCAAGTGTTGGTTACCTAAGAAAAAGTCTATAAATCACTTATCTAAGGTAATACATTTTTACTGTAAAGCATGTGTACTGTAACAGCATTAATGAATGATTTTAACCTCAGAGTTGGAACATAGCCTTCAGTTTTGACATTGTCTTGGAAAGATGGCCATTTTGGTATGGATAGCAGAGGTAAGGACTTAACAGAGCACAGACTGTTAACAAGGCATGAGTACAATCCTTGTGTAAGAGTGTCTAGGTGTTGCAAAGCGCAACACTAAAAGCTTGAGCTATAGGGTTCACTTGCACACTCGTGCATGCACACTGAACAGGCACACTCACACTTTGGCTCCGCACTCTCCCTGGGTGGTCTGAGCTGCAAATGTTTATGATCAAACCAAGCTTATCCAACTGGCTTGTTTCAGTGAATTGAGAATGATTTACAAGATGCAGCAGCAGAACTGAAGAGGAAATTATGGGAGATCTCAAAGCTTCATTTCAAGTCAGTCTGTGATTAGACCGATTGCAGTGTCTGGATGTATGGTTGCATGGCTATTTCTCTGGAGCTGACAAATATTTTCAGCAATCTGTTTGAGTTCTTCTCTGTGCAAAAAAATATATATATCAGTGTTATTAGTTAGCACCGGCTAATTGTTGTAAAATACTATAACTGGAATTTGTCTGAAAAATATCTTTTGGTTAAAAATAAAAATTTTTACATTAAACACACACAAAAATGTGACTTAAGCTTTTTGTTCTGTATGGGAAAGAAGCAAATAGTTTGATGCTATTGTTTTATCTGTATTTATGTTTTATGTTATTAAAACATACTATTCTACTTTTTATTACTAACAATAAAAATGGGCAATACTAAAGCTTATTTCGTTGTTTGTACTTGGTACAGTGAAAATACTCTGATTGCATCTTGCTATTATCAGTTCAAACTCGCTTTTCGCTTTGTTCTTATACATTCTGGCACAGATCCAATAAGATGTGAATAGCCCTCAGAGATATTGGTCCACAAAAACATTATAGCATCATGCAGTCGCTACAGATTTGTCAACAATATTTTCTTGCTGTGAATATCCTGTTTCAACGCATCCAAAAAAATGCTATACTGAATTGAGATCTCTTGACTGCAGAGGCAATTGGATGGTTGCAAACTCCTTGTCGTGTTCAATAAACCAGCTAACAAAGCTGCTTTCCTGTTGAAAGCAGCTATCAGCAAACGGGCACACAGTGTTCATGGCCAGCAGCCACACTTAGACTGCAGCCTTAAAACAATCTACAACTGGTGCTAAAAAGCCAAAATGTGCTGCGAAAATGTCTTCTCTCCATTACGTTACCTAACAAGCATTGAACCAGTGATACAATGCAGAAAGGATTCCTGACTTGAACTGTTTCTCTTACCTTTGACATGCCAGGCTCAAAGTTTCTGAATTATTCCTATTTCAAATTGGAAGCTAAACAGATTGTGTTGCTGCCTTATGAGTGGCTGATTTGCAGTTTGTGTCAATAAAAGAAATGAAAAAGTGCACTTTAAAATCTAAAAAGGTTTAGTGAGTCCTTCAAATAGGTTCTTCTTTAATGGAACGTTTTATTTCCTCTCCAAGAAACTTCTTCCACGTGAGGAGTCACAGGTAAACTGTTATACTTATAACAGCATGTTTTGCATAGGGACTCAACCTATTAACGGTAATGATCATTAGTGGTAGATCACATGCAAAGGAGGTCCAACAGCCTCGTGATCATTAGTGCTCTGAAGACCACTTGCTGTTTCCAGGGAACCGAGTCATTCTCCCAATAACAGGTGGACAGATGGACACTGATGAGTCCATCACTGTTGCCTCTTTTACTTCTCACTCAACTGTTTACTTGTTGGGCTTAGATATTTTTGGCTTTTTTTGTTTAAATCTAGATTACTGAGATGCATCTTCACTTTCTAAAGTTGTCCAAGAGTGCAGGCTGTTCTATAAAATATAAGATAATTAATTTAATATAATATAATTTGTTTTTAGATCCTGAAAAGAGACCTTAAACACACTTTCAGCAAAATTCAGTTAAAGTCTTACAAGATATGAAGCTATCCTACTAGATCAAACACTCAGAGTCTTACAGAGTATTTTATAATACGAAACCTCTATATTAGTACTAGGCACTATGTCGTAGTTATGACAAGCATATTTTTGAGTTCAGTTATAATAATCAAAACTATAACTTACCTACAGGTAAAGTTTTTTGTTGTTGCTTTGCTGTTGATCTACTCTACATTTGATGTGTCCCTTGTTCCTGCTTTAGAAAGGGAGGCTGCTATGGCTTACTATATTCTTTCTGGTTTCTTGTGATTGATTAAATAATGCTGAGTGAGATATCCAAAGAATGGCTGCTGTTTAATAATTAATTGGTTTTGATGATGAAGAACTTTCACTCTAACAAGCATCTGAGCCTTCGCAAAACAGCTTAATTTGTAGGCTACTGATGTATTCTCTATTCAGTAATGAGGTCACTTCTTAATGCAGTTGTTGTACCAATTTTTATTTAGGGGCATCTTTATAAAGTGAAGCTGAATTTTTCAGTTTTTAATTAAAAGAATTGAAAACCTTATTCTTTTATCTTTATTATATGCTTTTACTTTTATTTATCTTTATTATGCACTTCTTTCTGTTGGTCTATCACATAGAATCTGTGGAAATACATTGATATTCGTAGCTTTACATCAAGGTTTTGTCAGTATCTTTAAGGATCACAGATTCATTTGCAAGTTACTCTTAAATTAGTGTTCAATTAATTACCTTTTATTTCAATGCAGTATTGATAATAAATACATTCAAACTGTCCAATGGAAAGTGTGCAACACAATAACCAGTTAACAAGGTCAGAGACATCCATACTTCCTGTAATACAAAACAATTTTACAATTCTTCAAGTGATGTTTAGGCGGTCCTTAACCATAGTTACAAATTAATCTTTATTTCACTTTTCCTATCTACCCTTGTTTTCTTTACTCTGATGTTTGCATAGTATACTTTATTTTCACTGCTTTTTGACCAAATTTTTCACATAATGTATCCATAAACCTGCATGCATTCTAAGCTTAGACCCATTTACAGCTTATCTGTTAAGTAGTGGAGCACAGCTTTAGCTTTCCCAGCAGGAGCACTTTCTTCTATCATTCTAGCATCAGTTCCATTGTATTCAGACAAAATCAAAAAGTCAAACCAATTTGTCTCCCCATCCCCTCCCTTTCTATCCCCCCTTTCCCGCCTGGTTATGAGCGAGCAATAATGAGCAGTCAAGCTCATCTCCTGTTCAGCGCAAACAAAACCAAAGGCACATTCCCCAAGCTCAATTTACTGTTACGTCTCAGCTCTATGCATTGGGAGCTCTCAGTCTCTGAATCTGGAGAAATGGCTTAGTGGCTCCTTGCTGATATGCTCTCATAATGTTTTTCATGTAGATTTGAACCACTCCTTTTTGGTGTAGGCAAGAATGCATGCATATTTCGTTTAAATTATTGTGTTATAGAAAAAAAAATATTAACAATCTCCTTTTCCAATTTACTCTTACCTCCATGAAAAGTAATAAAGATGTTTAGAATTGAATAGAATAGAAAATCCATTAATTGTCCCACAATGAATAAATTCTGGTGTTTACAGCAGCAAAAACATTATAGAAAAAAAATGGTCACACAAATCTGGACCTTAGAAAAGTGCATAAGAATAACATAACAGTTAGAGTTAAAAAAATAACAGCACAGTGTTTTAACAATATAATTAATTCAAATTTATATACATTTATATACTTAGCTAAGCCATTTCAATTAAATAAGAGATTTTAATAAAATTATAGATTTTTTTATTTAACTTAAATTTTTGTAATTATTTTTTTTTCTTTTCTTTCTTTATGTTAAAGCTGTTTTAAGAAAGTTATATATATTTAATTTAAAGTGTAACAGTACTGAATACCTTTAATTATTATCTAAAATAAAAGAATTTATTCTCCAGGAACGGCGTTACGGGCGGAGTTGGTTTCCTATCGGACATATTTCACTGAGCGCCCCCATATGTCATCATACAAATGCTACCTGTTAGCCTGTTTCATAGTATTGTTGTAAAGTTATTAAGAGCGTAGTTTATTTTTTTGTCACCTTAGCACATGTGATATATTATTCATATTCAAAAAAGGTGTCTCGTTAAACTCACACGGTCTCTCCAGCAGTGTCAGTCGGTATTCCTTTGCGTTAGCTCAGGGCTAACTGCTACATTGACATCTAGAAACTTACATGCGTCTGCCACCGCTGCCATACTTGGACGGTAGATCATCTGCAATCAAGAACAGAGAGAGGTGGGTAATGTTTACTTAGATGATGTGACATATTCAATCTTCGTTTGAGTGTCTTTTCCATGGCGTGATATCAGTTTATTTAGCAACGTAGCAGATCAGTGGCTGATCAGTATGCTGTGGCGATGCCATGCACCTCTTAAATATTCCAGATGAAAGTGGAAGAAATAGAAAGTGTGCATTCTTTCCATGATCGCATCGTCTTTGCAAATAACAGTTGTTGCTATAGTTTGTTTATGCTGTCCTCAGCATTGATGGCATTTAATCTAGTTTCTGTCTGTCACAGTCAAAATGTAATCACCAAAATAACATTTAACATATTCGATCCTCCTTTGGATGAGGCTTAAGAGGGATAAAATGAAATAATTGAATATATTATTAAACAAATATGTGTAAATGTTTAATGTAATAATTAAATAAATGTAATGTAAAATGAAATAAATCAATACATTTACCATTCAAATGTATCAGTATATAATTAAATGTACCATTCATTCATTTAATACATCCCTAAGTGATTGAACTGTTGAATTATTTCTTTAGAAGTATGATATTAAATGATGATAGTAATTCTTTATAATAACTTTTTTATTTGTTTATACATTACATTATTTCCCTCTTCAATTGTTTATTTTATGGCGTCTGCACAGCAGCTTAATCATGAAATGACTGTCAACTAAAACCATCAAACTCAGAGGGTGGGATTAGCACCGTTTCCATAGAGACACTGACATCTGTCTCTATGGAGATGGGCTGCTTGTTGTTTAGAGTTATACAGCTTCGTCTAGGTTTTCTACTCTTTAAAGTCAATGTTTTCGAATTTTTCAAAAACACATTTCCATTTATTTCCATCTAATTGGGTGAGCAATTCCAGCCTCTATCTGCAGTTTGGTCACTAAAACGTTGCTGAGAGAATATGAGGTGGTGTCACAAGCTTATTAGATAAACTTAAGACAAAACTATGGATATAGAGGCTTGAAATACTCACCAAATGTGCTGTGAATAAATTGAAACATGTTTTTGAAGTTATTTCTACATTTTTAAGCCACAATTTTGATTTATGAGGTAAAAAAAATAAAAATGAAGGATTTGTCTTCTACTGCTCAGTGAAAAGCAAAGCACCCATGGTGATGTTTAAGGATCCCTTTGGACAGACACAGATGTGGTCATTTCAGATCACCATACAATTTCTTACAAAAGTGCCCATCACCACTGGAATTGATCACAAAGTGACAAGTAATGACCGAAAACCTAGATATTGTTTTATGACTAAGTCATAAAACAATGTTTACTAATAATGAGAATTTAGTGTGTATGTGTACTCAGCAACTTTAACTATAATAAAAAGCATTCACTTGTTTTAACATTTAAGTTAGAATTATATGGCTGTTCTGTTAAGGTTCCAAAAGGTTTGCTAGGATGTAACGTCATCCTCTTAATGACAAACGTCATTAAGAGGACCAATCACCACACCAGACGGCGCTGTGGTAAAAGTCTAACACATAAATCAGGGATAAATTACAAATTAATAGGTGTTAGAAAGTCCATGTTGTTTAGATGTTTTCCATTGGAAAGTGTTCATTTCTATTGTGTTTTCAGTGAGATATATGTCTGACGCTCATGAACGCACCATAGGGGTTCGAAACTCCATTGAACGCACCAAACGTGCATGAGAGATGGCTGAAAGCTTTTCATACTGATGCATCAGTATAAAGCTCATTATTTCCCATTTTCTCCTAACATTCTTCCTTTATATGCGTTCACCTACTGGACTTGCTGTGTGTACATGTCAGAAGGTGAGTTTAATGGTGTTTCATTGTGCTGTATGGTGTTAATTGCATATTTCATGATTATATGTCTAATGTTCGGATATATATATATTTTATGTACACTGTGTGCAGAATTATTAGGCAAGTTGTATTTTTGGGGATTATTTTAATTATTGGGCCACAATTGTGTTCTTAATCAACCCAAAAGACTCCTCAATATCAAAGTTTCATATTTTTGGAAGTTGATGTGTTTTTTAATATATTTGGCCATTTTATGAGGATGTCTGTGTGTGCAGGTAAATATTACTGTGCAGAAATATTAGGCAACGTAATAAAACAAATATATACCTATCTTACTTGTTTATTTTCACCAGGTAAACCAATATAACAACTAAAAATTCTGAAATAAACATTTGCGACATTAAAAACAACAAATTAGTGATCAATATAGCCACCTTTCTTCACCATGACGCTCAAAAGCCTTCCATCCATAGATTCTGTCAGTGTCTTGATCTGCATTTCATGAAGTACCAAAGGTTCTTCATGGGGCTTAGATCAGGTGAAAAAGGGGGACATGTCTTTATTTTTTTTGCTTTCAGACTTTTTCTGGCCAGCCACACTGTGGTGTATTTTGATGCGTGTGACGGAGCATTGTCCTGCATTAATATCATGTTTTTCTTAAATGATGGCGACTTCTCCTTGTACCACTGTTTGAAGAAGGCATCTTCCAGAAACTGGCAGTAGGTCTGGGAGTTGATCTTGACTCCATCATCAACCCGAAAAGGTCCCACAAGCTCATCTTTGATGATACCAGCCCATACCAGTACCCCACCTCCACGTTGCTGGTGTCTGAGTTGATAAGCAACTTGCTGCCCTTTGCTGATCCAGCCTGGTGCCCATCCATTTGGCCCAATTCTCATTTTATCAGACCAAAACACCTTGGAGAAATCAGTCCTCATATATTTCTTGGCCCAATCTTGTGTGTCTTGTTCAAAGGTGGCCTTTTTTCGGCTTTCCTTACCTTGACCAGGTCCCTGCGTATTGAGCACCTGGTGCTTCTCGGCACTCTAGACATGTTGCAGCTCTGAAATATGGCACAACTGGTGGCTAATGGCTTCCTGGCAGCTTCACGCTTGATCCATCTCAATTCATGGGGAGTTATTTTGCGTCTTCTTTTTTCAACATGCTTCTTGCGCCCCTGTTGGCTATTTGCCATGAACCGCTTGATTGTGCGATGATCCCACTATAAAAGCTAGGCAATTTCCAAACTACTGCACCCCTCTGAAAGACATCTGATAATTTTTGACTTCAGAGTCTGTCAAATCTCTTTTCTGACCCATTTTACCAAAGGAAAGGAAGTTGCCTAATAATTAAGCACACCTTATATAGGGTGTTGATGTCATTAGGACACACCCCTTCTCATTACAGAGATGCACACCACCTGATTTACTTAATTGGTAGTTGGCTTTCAAGCCTATACAGCTTGGAGTAGGACAGCATTTATGAAAAGGACGATGTGCTTGAAATATTTATTTGCCTTATTATTTTGCATACAGTGTATATTATGTATGATGTGTTCTGCTATGGTAGAGGATTAGGGACACTGAAAAAAAAAAAGTTGACTGATTTTTTTATTTTTATTTCAGTTTAATATTGGGAAAAAGTCAGAATTCTGACTTTAATATCAGAATTCTGACTTTAATCTCAGAATTGTGGATCTTAATGTAGATGGGCACCATGAAGGAAGAGATGTGGGAGCACTCAGCTTCACTGACAAAGATGTGAGTTGTTTTGGAGGGCCAGTAACACATTGGGGGGAAAATGACGCAATCAGGCAACTTTTTATGTGCCAGAGGGGTCCCCGGTGATGCTATTTTATTAATGGAAGAGCAGAAGGTGATTAAAACATGAGAGATAATCTCTAAAACAAACATGGCTACGGCTTGATGCTAACATGTCTGTTAGCTGTCAGAAAACAGTCAGAATTCTGAGATTAAAGTCAGAATTCTGAGATTAAAGTCAGAATTCTGACTTTTTTGTTATATTATACTGAAATAAAATTTAAAAATCAGTTAACTTTTTTTAGTTTTTCAGTGGCCCTAATCGTCTTCCATAGTTCTGCACTGATTATTATTTGTATTCCTTTGTACAACCACAGTAAATCTACCACAAAACAGTCATCTGCCTTTGTGTCTTTTAACACATTGCCGCTCTAAACCAGCTAACTCCTGGATAACATCTTATCTCCTTTTTAATAGAGAAAGTTTTAAATGTTTATATCACAGAGCATTTATCCCTTCCTATTGTTATAATATGGCAGCTTCAAAGGGGCCCACGATAACTCTGGAGTAGAGCCAGAGTTCCGCTTCTCAGTTGGAAGGTTCTGCCTTCAAGACGGTTATTAGTCAGGACGACAGACGTCTAGGTATATATGGCAAGACGTTTGTACAGGTTATTGTTTATTGATTCCCCTAATCTAGTCTGACTGAAGTTAACCTGCTTGCTGTGGTTTCTGTTCATTTTAAGCCTGACAGATGGATAGATTCACGTCCCCATAATAACATTTTTGAGTGTTTCCTTCTGAGAGGTGAAATGTTAAAAAAATCTTGGTGTGATACATTTTTGACTTGTTTTTGTACCGAATCGGTGTCACACAAATAACTTTTCCTTGCTTTAATTGACAATGAACACAGAGAATCCACCTGTAGATTTCTTGAAAAACAAAACCTTTATTAAACCTCAGAGCAACAAGCTGTACCTGCCATTAAAAAATAAACAAAACACTGAAAAATGACCCCTGATGTTTATGTCAGATCGTGAAACTGCCGATTGTATATGTTGCTGAGACATGAGGTTGTTGCTCTGACCTCTCTATGAATGTTTCTCCCTTATCAATCTGAACCAGGTTCTTCTTATTTTTGTTACCTTTTACCTTGCAGACATCATGGAGCTCCAGGCGGTGCTGATGGCAGCTGGGGGCGGTTCGCGTATGACGGAACTGGCATACAACACCCCCAAACCCATGCTACCTGTTGGCAACAAACCCCTAATGTGGTATCCCCTGAACCTGCTCGAGAGAGTAGGTTTTGAAGGTGAGAACTTATAACCCACCAAAGCTTCCATGCTTTAACGAAAAACTCACATCCGACTTATACAATTGTGTTCTATAAAATACAATTCTGCAATCTGTATCTGACCCATATTGGGTCAAACATGAAGTCAGGAGCTTCGTGTGAGCTGCATGCCCTTCAGTCAGATTAAGTGCTTCTGTGGGAGGAGCTCAGGTCGTTATAGGGAGCACATTTTTTGGTTTCCATATAAAATGTAACGAAACAAAATGCTGCTAGTTGGTTTATATGACCCAGATGAGAGGTATGGAGCATTAAGTGGAAAAACTTACCTTGAAGAAGAAAACTTACACTCTCAGTTACACATAAGGACTAAAACATGTGTATTTGGAGCTTTAGCTTTCCTGTTTTTTTTTTTAGCAAGTCCATGTTTTTAATCTGTAGTAAAAAAAAAAAAAAAAAAAAAAAGAAGCAATAAGATAAAAATTCCTGAAAAACACTTAAGGAAGTATCATGGTTTTGCGAGGCTTTGCTGCAGTGAGATCTTCTCTTTTCACCACCTGAGAAAAAAATCAGGAAAAAAACTAGCACAGATGAAGCAGGACTAGATCCTGCAGCATGGCAACAAAAAACATACAGTATCTTTAAAGATTTATTACGGATTAAGAAATGTAAAATCTGGAAATGTGTTTCCCAGATCTCATTGAGATCTTGTTGACTGACTGAGAGGCTAACATTCAAGAAATCCCTGGAATGGAGAAATAGTGGCCAACTTTCGTCCAACTGATGTCATAGTCAGGTAGATGGCAACTTGAAGGGTCATCTCAAGTTGATGTAGTCAGAGAGGGTAAAGCTAGCTTTGTGGTTATAGGGTACCTAAGCTGTTCCCTAAACTTGACGTTAGACATTTGCTGATGTATTTTATTTAAAGCAAAACAAACTGATTGAAGTGCAATTTAACCACATGCTTGCTAGATATAACGAACTGGATACACATCAGTTTTTGACAATTCCCTAATAAAAAAGCTGAATTTTTTCTCTTTAAATGACTGTAAATCATAGACGATTCTTTTTATAACTATAAGTTTCACAATTTTAGCACCTCTAAGAATCACTTTAAATGATGGTCACCAAAATATGTTTTTAGATGTGATTAGTGTGTCTTTTGAAGTTTTATTGAACCATACATAATTTCCTATTTCGCTGTGAAAAAGGGGAGTTTTGAATTGTCGTCGTCCAAAATGGGAGGGACAGGAGAATGTGACATTCGAGTGGTGCATGTATAATAATGTAATCTTCACAATCCTTTACCTGTATCCTTACCTGTGCCAGACTGGCTGGACAGGTACCCAAGATTATTTTTTCATCACGCAAAGTTATCCCCCCTTTGTTTGTCACTTAAGGGTGACAAACAAAACCTAAAAAATAATTCCTCCATTTAGAAAACGTAAACCATGCCTGAAGGGAAAAAATGAAAATAAAAGCGAAAAGTAAGCTTTCTGAATTAAATGCAGGCAGAGTGCTGTATCTAATAACAAAAACCTGTTAAATCAGTCCGTTGAAACAGAAGCATTGATCTTCTCTTTCGGCTGTCAGCTGCTCTCTTCCTGCTTCTGTGCTGGGACCCGTGACCCAAAGATCAGAAAAATCAAATGTTTCCCCTATGTAAGTTGGGTATCACTGCAAACGATCAACCTTTGTTTCTAAGGAGTGTTTTGTTCAAAACGAAATTTTAACCTTAACTAATAGGATGGTGGAGGGGCGGATGAAACGGGCAGAGAGCTGCTGACTGTATGCAGAGCTCCTCCACAGGATCTGGAAAAACATTGCTGATTTTACACATCCTGAGTCCACAATCTCCAACCTATGAAACAATTTGTCTGTCTTAGTCAAAAGTCCACTTAAAGGCCTAACTTTTAACTTCTTAATTCAATTGGAACCAGCCGATGAACCTCCACTCTCTAGTTTTGTCACCTTCTTCATAACAGGTAGACGGGAGTTTCAACTTATTTGATATTATCAGTTTAGGCTGATCTGTTATTCAGAGTGACTGTTTTTTTTTATTGTAATAAATAAATAATTAAGACATTATAGCTTTCTCTAGTAACATTATTTAGTGATTCAAGTACCGTATTTTCTGGACTATAAGCCTCTACTTTTTTCCTACATTTTGAACCATGCGGCTTATTAAGAAGGAGCGGCTTTTTTTTTTTTTTCCTATCCGCCAGACAAGGAAGGTAAAGTTGGAAATGAAAGAGTAAGGGGCTAATTTTCATTTAGCACAAGAACATGCTAGCAGCAGGCATGACGTAGAACAATTGTCCACAGTTCACACATTTTGCCATTTATGTGCTGCATCAAAGCTGCCGAACCAATTAAGACACTGGGCTGAACTCCTGCGGTGCTGAAATAAAGACCAACGTAGCCCACTCTTTCGATTAGAAGCCCTTATTGCTGTGAGCCAGCAAGCTAACAGGAGCTAGCATTCTTCTTCTTCCCTACTATAGGTGCTACATGTAGAGCTCCCCCTACAGGTTTTGTGGGAGACTGTTCAGTAGATATCAGCGGCTTATGGCCCGGTCCAGCTTATACATGTAAATTTCCAGTTTAAAAAAAAATTTAGTAGGCACGGCTTTTAGGGAGGTGTGCTCTATATTCCGGGAAATACGGTATTTATTTTTTATTCTAACACAGGTGGTTGGAGGTGGGGCTTAAAGCTTTTCAATGGAAACTGGGCATTAGCAATGGATTAAGTTAAGAGTCCAGAAACGCTTGTGGTAGAGGATTACAGGACATTGTAAATGATTAAAACACTTATTCTAATGTAACAAATATATATTTTTAATGACCTTGGTAAATGTCCTGTATTTAACGTATGTGTCGCACAAGGATTGGTTGATGTTGCAGCATTCGATTTTTCTCCACACAAGCTGGTGTTCGAGAGAATTGTTTAAACTAAACTTAAACAAACTGTTATTTAGAAATAATCAGGTTCTCTTTATTAAAGATTTAGTCAGGTGTGCTATTCCCGTCTGACGCTGCAGACTGCATTTCTGACTGTTTGGGTGTCGCAGGTTCACAGGCCTGACTTGATTAAGGACAAGCTTCTATTTTCCAGACTTGACAATAAACTGGACCGTTCATTACCTGTAGTTTGGTGTTAGACTGCAGGAAAGTTGCTCTCTATAAGTAATCACTCTGTGTGGCCAGCAGTTTACTATGTGCTGCCTGCTAGCCAGGGCTTTGCAATTAGATTTTACTGGGCTGACACAGCTAGTCTGTGCAAATGCCCAGTAGAAACAGTTTAATGTCTGCAATTCTTATTAGAACAGGCAGACTGTGCAATCTGTGGATTTGTTAGGTGTTACAGTTTTGTTGCTTATCACAAAGTTTAGAGATTAATTTGATGTTAAGTTTGCAGCTGCAGCAATATTCTTGTTCTTTGACTTGTTACTTCACGTGTTTCTGACTGATGCATGTTTTCTGCGTCCTGTGTTTCCCAGAGGTCATAGTAATAACCACCAAAGACGTCCAGAAGATGATGAGCACAGACCCTAGAATGAAGCCGGACGTGAAGATGAAAATGGAGGTGGTCTGTGTCCCGGAGGACGGAGACATGGGCACTGCTGATGCTCTCAGACACATTCACCAGAAGATAAAGGTCTGCTTACTTTCTTTGTTTTTAGTATCCAAACAAATAGTTTCTCATAAAGTCTTGTTTAATAAAATTGAGTCTTTCACAATAACATGACCTCTAAATTGAAGTTATTTAGGTTATCGCTGCTTTGCCTGATCTATTTACTTTCAACCAAATAAAAACCGATGGCTTGATAGCTTTACTTGATACTTATGTTTTATCAGATTTTGGAGGGATAAAAGATGTTTAGCAAGGTGTGTGTTCTGCAGGGGACCCACTGATCCATGTCTGTTCTGGCCCCAGGCTGGCAGCCAAGGCTGTTGAAGTGCCTTGTTTTGTTTTACCTTCTCTTTCAAACACACACAACCTTTGCCTTCACACAGATGAACCCATGCTGGGTTGTTATCCATGACCTCCCAACTCCAATTTCCATCCCTGCTCTGTATCCTGCCTACCGATCCCACCATGCCTCCACTCATCCAATTCACTTTAAACATATGAGGTCATGGTTAAGACTCCAATTCTCTGTGTTGCCAGTTTACCCAGTACACCATTCAGTCACATGCAGTGGAGGTGCACATCTGTGCAACATTTGTGTTTAGGTATGTTGGGGTGGATATGTTACAGGTCTGACCGGCCTCCTCTAAAACATGATGACATATTTGTTTGACATTTGTGTATTGCAGAACTGTGGATTCCCCACAGATTCGTTTGGCTTTGTTTGGGATTTTTATGTAGTTGGAACGTGGAAAATACACATTTCTTTAGGGTGGCAGTTACTTAATATCCTGTGGAAATATAAAACAGATATTTAAAAAGGTCCCACAGCCATGATCCATGCATTTATCCTTGTGAACAGATTTCTTGTCCAACACAGGACAAAAACAGCCATACATATACAATAGAAATAAAATAGAAAGAGCAATTCACCTCACATGCATATTTTTTTACCATAAGAGGAAGAAAAAGTACCTGGAGAGAACAAGTGTCTGCTTGTTTATTCCTAGAGCACAACTTGAGGTCCTGTAGGTCCTCCTCTGTGGCTCTTAAAGTTTTTAAGATAAACTAACATAGACCTTCATTAATAATTTGATTAAATGAAATTGCTGACTCTTTAAATATTCAACATCTAAATAAATGGACACCCTTTAAATAGTAGTTTATATATCAACTTATTCTAAGGGCTATGTAGACTTTGGAGACAAACTTTTTTAGTACAAGCAATTACACATGGCTCCTCGGGGAAATCTTTTCCAAAATGGCAGACAGTCTACAGTTGCATGTTGGAGACAATACGACGTTGCTGCCTTTCCTGTTGCTTATGACAGCAATTTATATTTTGGGCGCTTAGGTATTTACTTATTCTCTCTTTCATTTCCAATACGATGTGGATATTGACTAGATACAATATCAGCATGAAACATACATACTTTTAATACTTTTGCTGTGTGCTGAATGTCAAAGAAGGTTTTATCAAGCAATATCACTCAAACAGAGAACAATAGTCAAAAACAGATTAACTGACTGAACTCGAACCACAGTCGGCCTCGGCAGATGGCTGCTCACACTGAGCCTAGTTCTGCTGGGGTTTTTTCCTGTTAAAAGGGAGTTTTCCTTTCTACTGTCACTACCAGCATACTTGCTGTTAGGGGCTGCTGTTGAGTCAAAGAGTCGATGCAATCAACTGGTTTTCCTTAGATAGAAAACTTTGAATGATCTGACTTAATGACTTGGTTGAATTGTCTGCAAAGTGCCTTGAGATGACATGTGTTGTGAATTGGCGCCATATAAATAAACTGAATTGAACTGAATATTAATTGTTAACATTATCTTTGGACAGAAGCTTTGTGTTTTTATCAGAATGCCAATATTGGACATTTTAGACCCAGGTTAATATAATCTGATATTAGTTTTTGCCTGATATTAGACTGATATCGATATATCGGATTGAGACATCCCTACTTAAAGTTGTAGGAAAGTCGTATTTAAATGTCAAATCATTCTGGCTTAAACATGTATATAAATGTACTGTTTATCAGACCATATTGTCTCAAAAGTTAGAAAATTTCAATAAAAAAAAAAAATCCTGTCGTAAAATCTACATTTTTTTTTCTTCGTTATCTTATGCAGGCCAGTTAGTTATACGTCAGCTTGTACACCTGAATTCGGTGTACAATCATATATCAACGGTCATCTGTCAATCAAATTTTTTCAGTAATAGCATCTTGATTCATATGTCACAGCTAATATACGCAATGGTTGAAATAAGAAATAAAAATCATTTACTTTACCATTGAGTCCCGTCCCAGTGTTCATGGGGATGGACGCCTGTGTCTTCGAAAGGCGTAGCGCTAAAGGAACTGGCAGCATTGGAAGGCAAGGGCTCAAACATGTACGGCTGTAAGCCTTTTACACCAAACCAATCTTCTGCCTCCCTGGCGTCCTCTTCCAAAACAACCTTATCCCCACTTTCCTCCTCTAAATAAAAAATGTATGATGAAGGAGACTCATCCACATAAAACTTTCCTCCTCTTGCATGTTTCTGCTGTCCATAGCGTTCCCTGACAGTGTCGTTTCTAAGTCACCAATTTAGTGCTACTTGGTACCAATGTAATTTCCCATTGGGAACCTACTAGCACTAAGTTACTAACTGGTTAGCAAGATGCTTCCGACAAACCGACCATAACCAAACTTGCTTGCAAACCTTCCGCCATAACAATCCTGCCCCCTTAATAAATGACCAATCACATTAAATTTATTCACTCGTGTAAAGTCAGGAGAATTCGGAACTGCAATGGCTGAAACAGCCATATTCCTATGACTTTAAAGGCATTTAAGAGGATTCTGTGGTGGAAGATTTGTCCGACAGTTGATTGTGTATTTTTGTATTGTGCACGTGTCAGTGTTCCCTCATTCGCAAAAGTTTTCTAACGCCTCAGCCGGTGCTATGCCGAGAAATACCTGCCTGCTGAGAATTACTTCCCCCCTGCACATTGCTGAGAAAACGGATTGAAAATATGAACAAAAAAGGGAACTTTAAACATATTCTTAATGTTTTAATATTTCTTATGCATGGATGCCCTTTTGTGGACAGCTACATGCCAAGAACTTCCTGCATGCCATAACACCAGCGCCCCGGTTAAACTTTTACCAATATAGACATTTTATACATCCTTAGAAAGCTTTGATTCTCCAAAATTCAACCACCAAGTTCATTTTATGGACACCATGAGCACCAAAGCAAAATTAAGATATAGCAGCATGTTATATCAGAATTTCTAAAATAAAGCTCAGACTTCCTACCTGAAGCGATCCAGAGGCCGCCTTATGAATCTACTCTTAGATTGTTTATAATCAATTTGTCTGTAACTGTCTCCAGATAAAAAGTAATCCAGCATTTTCATAATAAAAACATTCAATGATATGAAAATCACCACATAAAGTCAGTTTTTTGACTATTAAAAAAAGTTTGATCCTTATAGCTAATGCTAACCATCTTGCTAATTACCTTAGCTTCGAACAAAGACCTTCTTTTCCAATTAGGTTTGTCTGGATTCTTTTTGGCCATTGATGCTCCAGTTTACACAAAGTGTGAACAAATAGCTAAAAAAAAAGTACTTCTTCATGCTTCGGTGTAATGGCGGACCGCTAGCTAAACAGAGCATAAGTAGTTGTTGCCTACGTCAAACATACTGGAAGCACATACACAAAATGTTTGATAGACAAACAAGTAGTCAAACCACTTTCAACAGTAGGTAAAATAGATTGGCTAATGTTTTTGTAGGCCCCACCACAGCCAGAGTTTATGGATTTTAATTTTTTTCGGGGGGTTGGACCATAAGTGCAAGCATGCTATCCATCAATTAAGTCATTTTAGATGAGTCTGAACACTCAATTTCCTCTTGAATACCTTTAAGCTAAAATATTTGTGGCTTTATGATTTATTTTTAATAATAAATTTCCCTTATGCATCTACAGTTTGCTGAAGCAGAAGACTGCAGCATTTCTTTGTTTTGATTTGACTCATTGATATTATTCTGTCCAAGATGAAATCTAAACGTGCTTAAACCTCTTAGCTGAAGCTCCAGTGTTTTGAGTATAGTGACCTTAAGATGCAAAAAGCTAAATTGCAATGTTCCAGTAATCTATATCAAAGCCAATGAAAAAAGGTAAGGTTTTGCTCAATTACTGTATTTTTTGATAATTATGCTTGTCATTTCTGTGCTGAAAGTGTTTATCTCAGTTGTCTACTGTATCTTTGAATTATTCCTTTTTGCATGGCATTAATGCACTGACGATCTTTTATCATGACATATTCTACAGTAAGGTAATTGAACCTATGAGTTTTTGTATTTTGTAAAGTGTTACACACTTTTATCCCAGAACGTGTCTGAACAGATGGTTGTTGTTGCTTCTGAAGATTTCCTTGATCAAAACTTTGTATATCCTTGTATAAACACACTTAAAAAAAAAACAAAAAAACTAGCCACTGCTTGTTCCTATTGAGAGTCTCTTTGGCTTTAATCCTCCAAGCAGTTCACTAGATTACAGGCATTGAGTTACACACACTCACACTCTGCTAGGTGATGAGTGAAGAAGTGTACCCATGGCCTGCCAAATCCAAGCAGACAGATCTCCCCATCTGTCAAAGCGATGCTTCAACCCAGCATAGAAACCCTGACACACCTACTTGTGTCTTTTGGCAAACACCGTCATATGAGGGGATTTGGTTCAAACTAAAAACTAAATACTTACAGGAATCAGAGTACACTTTACAGTGGGTCATTCCTCCTGATTAATGAAAAGAGAGATTACAGGCAGCATATTTTGATTTGTTCACTTTTCAAACACTGAAGCTACACAAAGGTGGACGGATATGCTGATTAATGCTTGGATCTTTCACAAAAAGCCATACTAGTGAAAGGAGTACTTAACATGCTCCTTTTGCTTTGTATGCCTTAACCCTCCTTGACATTTTTTTTAACTATCATTCAAGTTTAATTATGTCGGAAAATGAGGGTAGG